GGCTTAACCTCATAATGTGCTAGCAATAATGTGATTCAACCAATTATTTATTAAATATTATTTTCTCTATTCTTAATGTAAATTTTATAGAGACCGAATTTATTATGTGAATTTAGTTGCCTTAATTGGTTGAGAGGTTTTTTCTAGCATGATCTAAGATTATTCATTTACTTCAAATATTTGACTTTTCTTTTGTCAACTTACGCATATAAATACATTTAAAATGTGTAAGTCGCACGTAGCACGCCGTAATTCAAGAAATGCCTTCATCATTTTAATTAGTTTTTTTTCTGATTTTTTTTTTAATAATTAGTATCTCACAATATGCTAGCAATAGTGTGATTCAATTTCTTTATTTTAAAACACGTTCAAAACATCTTAAGAGGTGTGTAATGCCGGTTATAGAAAAGGTCTTTCGCACGTGGATAATAATATGATTAAATTAGTTGTCAAATGATTGTTTTTTTTTTAACAAACGATATTATCTACACTAAGGGGAGGGGTGTCGACTTAACCTCACAATAGGTTAGTAATAATGTAATTCAATCAGTTGTTTATTAAATATTAATTTTTTCTATTTTTAAATACGTTCGAAACATCTTAAGAGGAGTGTAATGCCGGATATAAAAAAAGGTTTTTCATATGTGGATAATAATGTGGTTAAATTAGTTGTCAAATAATTGTTTTTTTTTTTTAAGAAACGATATTATCTACATTAAGGGGGAGGGGGTGGGCTTAGGGCTGGTTTGGTATTGTTGTACTTTGAAAAAAAGATGCTTCTGCTGTGCTGTGAGAATAAGCAGCTGTGAAATAAAGCATCAGAGTGTTTGGTAAACTTTTTTGTAAAAATGCTTTTGAAAAAAAAAAAGCAGTATTATAGTGTTTGGTAAACTTTTATGTAAAATAGATGTGAAAAACAGCCGGTTTTTCAAAGTTGGGTTTTGCATCTTCTTGTTTTTGGCTTTTTTTCACCCAAAACTGTGAAAAATAGCTAAAGCTGAATGTTTACCAAATACAAAAACAGCTAACAACTTTTTTTGATACCAGCTTTTTTCAGAATCACCTCAGTACCAAACCAGGCCTTAACCTCATAATGGGCTAGCAATAATGTGATTCAATCTATTGTTTATTAAATATTATTTTCTCTATTCTTAATGTAATTAAATTCTATAAAGACCAATTTTATTATGGGAATTCAGCTGCTTTAATTGGTTTATGAGGGGTTTCTTCTAGTATGATCTAAGATTATTCATTTACTTCAAATATTTGACGTTCATTTTGTCAATTTACGCATATAAATACATTTAAAAAGTGTAAGTCACGCGTAGCATGCTATGATTTAAAAAATGTCTTCTGCACTCGCTCTAGTACAAGTTAATCTCTTTTCACAGAGCAATTAATCTTATATATGAAGTGAAAGCAAAATTGTTTTCGGATTGAAGATTTGAATTCATAGGATATGTAAAACGGAGGTATGATATTTCAACAGCTAACTTTAGAGGAGGGGCCTCCTTTGTCTCCAAGATGGGATGCACATACGACTACCAATTCAATCACCACCACACACATCACCCTTCCTGCCATTATTATCATCACACAAATCAATAGGTCTTCCCCCACACCACACCATATCAAGCACAACCCTCACGAATATATATATATATATATATATGTATGTATGTATGTATGTATGTATGTATGTATGTATGTAGCTTTGAATATTTTCACATACACAAAGGAACAAAGAGGAAAAAAAGCCATGCTCTTTAACGACCTCAATTAAAGTCCTTAATTACAGTTGCTTAGCAATTGATTATGTTCATCATATTAAAAATTAAATTTAAATATAGATCCCACTCCGGTGACCGAAAGCTGCATGCATGCATGCATAAGTTCAATGCGTTCATATATTCATGCAGAGAAACTGAGGAGGTCAATGAGTTAGCGGTATTGGTGACTTCGATTCTTGCAAGGGAAGAAAAATCGATGCGTGTTCTTTGTCAAGTTAATTGTATATATGCTGAGTTCCTAATTAAATAGTGAAAAGGGAAACACGATAATCATACCAACTTGCAAGCTTTTGAACTTTGAAAACTAAATCAACTTTGGACCAACTAAACCGACTGATTAAACCATTCTTGTGGTTGTGGTCGACTGGTTTATACATCACGAAAGCAATATTGTTGTCTAGCAGACCATATGTATATATAACTTAGCTCCTTTAAGTTTTTAGAAAAAGAATGAACACGTAACCTTCAAATTTCCATTAGGGTTTCATCATTTGTCTTTTTTCTTCTAGGGTTCTAGCTAGCTACCTTGAGAATATGTATGTCCTAGATTATACATATTCCACAATATAGAAAGGGGTCGATATATATCAAAGTAAGAGATCTCCATTTTGCACTCATATTTGTTTGTAAGTTAATTTGTAACCCTACTTATGCATGATATAATTCACTACCTTTTATTTCCATTTGTTTACTTCGACCATTCTCATCACAGCGTGCGACATGTGATAGTATTGATGGCTGTTTTACAAGGATTTGGATCCTCTCCGGATCCCCTCCCTAAGGATCCCGGAGATCAAGACACAAAGATCGTTCATCAAAGATCGTGCGGTTATAATTAAATACTTTTTACGCAAAACGAGATTACTTTACTTTTAAAAATATAAAAAGTATTTAATTGTGACCGCACGATCTTTGATAAACGATCCTTGTGCCTTGATTCCCGAGATCCCGAGGGAGGGGATCCGGAGAGGATCCAAATCCGTTTTACAAAAGCTACCATGGTAAAATTAAAAAGCACTTCTTTTGGTAATATAATAATGGTAAAGCAAATTGTGATCAAGTAAGCATAACTTAGTAGTCAGAAAAGCATAATTAACCAAGTAGTCAATTCTTTATCCTAAAGAAAAAGGAAAGTCTGAAATTTGGTTCAAGTATATAATTAGGGCACAGTTATGTGGGGGTGCATTTTTATTGATCCACACTAATTATAGGGTATGCTCACCACCCTTTCCAATACTTGCCATGTGTAATCCACACTAACTATAGTTAAGCCTTTTTTTTTTTTTTTTTTTGCTTTAATTATTTTTGTTTACTTCCATATATATCATTTCTTTTTAAATATTTTATTAAAACTTAAAACTTACCTTTTTGAATACAAACAGTGGGTTCGGCTCTAAGTGATGAGCCGACATAACCGGAGCTGCTAAAGCTTAAAGCTTTATCTCCTTCGCGATCTCTCCCTATTACGAAAACCGACATAATTCTAGCCCTACCCCCCAATTGCTAACCGTGTAATTCTAATAAAGACGTCGAATAGGAAAAAAAATACAAACAACTCATCCATGCGCACGCATCTTCTGGTTTTCCATCTGCTATTTTTGTCCAACTACAAAAAGGTATGCAACTCCCATGTTTATTTGCTTTTTAGGATTCTTATAGGATGCCAATATATATATGCTTTTTTTAGGATTATTATAGGGTGTTAAACTATATGCTTTTTATGATTATTATAGGGTGTCAATAAATATGCTTTTTAGGATTATTATAGGGTGTCAATTTAATTTAATATTAAGTAATTTGATACTTATTCAGATGGAACACCAAGATGAAGAGTTTCATACTCCATCTTCTAGTGATGCCAAAGAATCAGTTGATTGTATACACTTAGATTCAGATTCTGAAACCCTTGAAGCATTGGATCAAAATGAAGAAAAATGAGAATTTACAAGCGAAGTTGGTGATATTTTGCTGGGGATGACTTTTGATAATGAGGATGATGCATATAATTACTACAATGCATATGGTAGAAGGGTTGGATTTAGCGTGAGAAAGAACAGAGAGAATAAGTACAGGTCAGGTGTGCTAAAGAAAAAACAATTTTGTTGTTCTTGTGAAGGTTTTTATAAAAAAAAAAAAAAAAAAAAAAAAAGAACTCCGAAGAAGAAAAGAGAAGAAACAAGATGTGGTTGCAAGGCAATGCTTGAAATCAAACTTAATTTAGAAAGGAAGTTTGTTGTGACAAATTTTGTTGCTGAACATAGTCATGTTCTTGTTCCGGCATCAAGTTCTCATTTATTGAGGTCACAACGATTAATAGAGTCTTCTCAAGCAAAATTGATAGATCAAATGCATTCTGCAAGACTACAGTCATCTCAAATCTTCTCATACTTTACCACAGAAGCAAGAGGGTCTCAAAAACTAAACTTTATTCAGTCTAATTGTAACAATTTGATAATGAGAAAGCGCATCGGGGTTCTTAAAAATGGCGATTCAGAATGTTTGCTTGAATATTTTAAGAAAAAGCAAATTGAAGACAAGTCATTTTTCTATTCTCTTCGAACAAACGAGGAGAATGAAATATGTGGTTGTTTTTTTTGTGATGGAAATTCGAGGCGCGATTATACTATATTTGGTGATGTTGTGTGTTTTGATACAACATTCAAAACGAATAGATATAATATGGTGTGTGCCCCAGTAGTTGGTATCAATAATCATGGTCAAACCATACTTTTTGGATGTGGTTTGCTAGATGGAGATACAACAGATGCATGTGAGTGGTTGTTCAAGGCCTTTTTACAAGCCATGGATGGAAAAGCACCATGAACCATATTTACAGATCAAGCCCAATCAATTGCTGCTGCGATTAGTGAAGTATTTCCTAATTGCCACCATCGACTTTGTTTGTGGCACATATATCAGAATGCTGCGAGGAACTTGAATCATGTTTTTAGCGAGTTAAATCATTTACACAAGATTTCAAAAGATGCATATATGATCCGGAGACTGTTGAAGAATTTGAATCAAGTTAGAATAAGTTACTTGATGATTATGAATTGAGAGGAAATGATTGGCTAGAAGGGATATATCTATTACGTGAGAAATGGGCACAAGTTTATGGTCGAGACCACTTTTGTGCAAGTATTACTCTTGACCAATTCCTATTGTATTAATTTGTACATATTATTCACAAGTTTCTTTTTCCACTATACTATGATTTAGACTTGTCAAGTATACCATCCAATTATTATTTGAAAAGATGGAGCAAGGATGCTAAATGTGGTATTGGATTTGATTCTTATGGTGAATCGGCTGTGAGTAATTTAGACTCATCTTCCTTGGTTCAGTATAGCGAGCTATCTAATATAGCACAAAGAATCATAGCAAAAGGTGCAAAAAATAACCAAAAATGTAATTTTTTGAAATCTGAGTTGTTAAAGTTGGAGAAAAAATTGGATAAGCATGCCAATTTTGGAGAACAAGATGATGGAACAAATGATGTAAATTATGTTAAGCATGTGACTGAAGCTGAGAAAAATCTTAAGATCCAAGATCCAAAAGTTGAGAAGTCCAAAGGTCGGGGCAAAGGTAGAATGAAGAGTGCTTTGGAATCTAATCAACCTAAAAAGAAAGGTCCATACAAGAGAAAAGGTTAGCACGTACTTGGCTTGTTTTTATTTACTATTTGATTCACAATTTGCAATTATCAATGTAATTATTATTTTATTTGTTTAATAGCTTTTAAAGAATCCAATTCAAATGCATATGAGATGAACGGACCATCAACAAGATATATATGCACAAACTCAGGTTTAAAGTTTAGCAATTTTTTGTCATGAATGTTTTATTTATTTATTTATATTTTTGTTCATTAGCATTGTTTTAATCTATTTCTGATGGATCAATTGGAATTGGTATCTAGGGACATATTGGAATGCCAAGTCAAAACCAATTCAATATGACACCCGTAAGTCAAGTCACACATTTTCCCTATGGATTTCCAATTGTTCCTTGTGTTCAAGGGATTCAAAATCCACCGGTTCAAAGGATTCAAAATCACCAATTTGGATTTCAAGCTATAAGTCCCATGATGTCCAATTACTCATTTATGTATCCTCGGGTTTGTACCTTCATTGAATGTACTAAATATATAGTGTACTATATTTTTGTTCTCTAGTTTCATAAGTAATTTTTTTCTTTTTATTTATTTGTAGGAAAACATTCAACCAATACCTCTGGTAACCACTCCTCAACTAAAATTTTCAAATCCATCAGCATCAAACATTCAACCAATACCTTTGGGAACCACTCTTGAACTGAATTTTTCAAATCCATCAACATCTTAGATCATGTTGTAATAGAATTTAGAGAAATTTTTTTTGGAACGACATCCTCTGAAGTGGAGAATATTCATCCTTCTAGCTTTGTACAATTTGATTTTGATGAGTTTCATCTCAAATAATTATATTTTGTTGGATATTGACGAAGTGAATTGATATAATTCGTATATCCATATAAAGTTAGAATCATATGTAGATGAAAGATCAAGTTCGCATATTTTAATTACCATAAAAAATTGATTACACATATTTTGATTACCATAATCTCTAACTAGTTACAGATCCTATTTATGATGAAAACTCTTTACATGATCATACAATAGTAAAGATCCAAGTCATGGATGTTTACAGAAAACGACTATGAAGGTGTAATCGACATTGGGGTTTTAAGTTTATGTTTATGTCTTTTAAATTGAAATGTTGAGTTTCCAAAAAAAAATAAAAATAGGAATTAGTTAAGTCTGTTTGTAAGGAGTGATAGGGAGAGATCGCGAAGGAGATAAAGCTTTAAGCTTCGGTAGCTCCGGTTCTGTCAGTTCATCACTTGACGAATGTTTGGCGGGTCGGCTGAAAGGCCTAAGCCGAACCCACTGTTTGTATTCAAAAAGGTAAGTTTTAAGTTTTAATAAAATATTTAAAAAGAAATGATATATATGGAAGTAAACAAAAATAATTAAAGCAAAAAAAAAAAAAAAAGGTTTAACTAGAGTTAGTGTGGATTACACATGGCAAGCATTGGAATGAGTGGTGAGCATACCCTATAGTTAGTGTGGGGGAGCAAAAATGCACCCGTTATGTGGTGGCAAATTTATCCTCATTTCATCCCAATAATAGTCTGCAGAGCCAAAAAACATTTCTAATTTATTATGTCAAGCAGTTTGTCGAACAATTGACCGACTCTTACTATTGTGTGCTTAACATACATTTTCGTTCTTTAATGCTCTTTTAATGGTGTCTTTAGGTAATTGTTGTTGTAGTCAATCATACAAAGAGCAACGAGAGCTGGCAAAATCCCATAACTAAGATGAACGAGTTTTTGCTAGCAGTGAACGATGCCACGCTATCGGATTAGAAGAAGATTGCCCCACAGAAGATAAAGCATGCGGGTTACAATATAAACAAAAATGGAAGGATAATACTAGAGAGATTAAATTTTAAATTAAATTTGCAAACCAAATAATGTGTCACCAATAAAGAATAAGCACGTCAGTCGATACTTAATCAATAATCCAATCATTTACAACTATATCATTTAGTTTGTAAATTTGATTTAAAATTTTAATCTCCTTAATATTACCCAAAATTAAATTAAAGAAGTGAGGTAATGTGCATTGACCGTAATGTATATCATCATTGATTCTTCAACCTTCATCATCCACGTTTATGCTGTAATATTGTATAATGATAGTTAGGGATAATTTGGTAAATTCAATTTTCTAGAAATTAAAACATAATGTGGGTTGATAAAAAAAAACATATTGTGGGTATTAACTAGGGACAAGGATCCTCCTCGTATATTCTTTATGAGAATTCGGATATCAATTAATCATGTATGTTCATCATACATCATGCGCTCATTTTTTGATATGTACTATTTATAATTTTAAATTTTAAATTTAAAATGATTTTCTACACACACTATGTACGATAAACAAATACGATTGATTGATCATCCTGATCTTCATAAGTTAATCTGAAAAGGATCGTATTCCATTAACAAGTAGCTTAAGTTGAACTTTTATGCTTAAAAAAGTGAACTTGTGTGATTTTTTTTTTTGTTTATTTTTTTCTTTTCAAAGTAAAGGAAGAAAACATAACGTGTGTGCTTGTGTGTGTGTGTGTGTGTGTGTATGAGAAGGTTTATGTACACCACCTAACATTTTTTTGTCTTAGTTTCATCAAAGAACTGCTCTCAAATTCTATATTATCCTCAACATCCCATTCACTTACGAGGAAACTTCCTCGTCAATAAGTGCGGCGTGCCTGGTGGCTAATGGGAACCTTCCTCTTCATATATAATATTATGCTTTCCGAGATTCTTCTTCCACCTGTCACCGGTGTTCCTATCATGCATTCTTAAGTTTCAGGGACTAGGATGTTGTGCGGAAGCGTTAAATATGAAATCAATAAGTTAATATGGTAAAATATAACAAAATAAATAATTCAAATGACACAAGTATTTATATTGATTCGGCGTAAGCTTACGTCCAGTTCGCGAGAAAATTCCACTAATAACAAGATGGAAATTACAAATAAAGTTTAATTCTCAAATCTCAAACCCACGTACAGCCAATAGCTCTCACACAAACAAAGAACAAATGGAGAAGAAGAAACACATATCAAAATCCCTCTCCCAAAAACTATACAACATAGCACCAATATCTTTGATTGAGTGATTACTAACAAATGTGGAGAAGCAGCGGCACTTCTTCAAATGGGAGAGCCGAATGTTCTCCCTGTAAAAGAAAAAAAAAAAGAAAAAAAAAAACAAATGGAGAAGAAGAAACACATATCAAAATCCCTCTCCCAAAAACTTTACAACATAGCACCACTATCTTTGATTGAGTGATTACTAACAAATGTGGAGAAGCAGCGGTGCTTCTTCAAATGGGAGAGCCGAATGTTCTCCCTGTAAAAGAAGAACCAGGATCTTGTTCAGATCCATTTCTTAGGGATCCTAGGGATTCTGCAATCATGTTCATTAATCGTATATCGTATGGTTAGAAATCATTTAAAATTTAAAATTCAAATATGAATAGTACTTAACGAAAACTGATCGTACGATATAAAATAAACGGACATGATTGCGGAATCCGTAGAAAATGAATCCGGAGAGAATCCTAGGGTAAAAAAAATAGAAAAAAAGAAAAAAAAAAAAACAAAACAAAACTCTCGGCTGCTTATGCTTATGCTGCTGCCAACCAACCTTTTTCCCAATTCTTTACTCTCTGCCAAAGAGGAGCCGACCAGCACACCCGTGCCCTCTGCTTTCCTTCTCAAACAACACATCATGATTGCTCTCCTCACGATCAGGATCCTCTCCTGATCTAAGGATGAGGATTCTCATGATCAAGAAGTGTGAGCTGTTGAATGAAAATCCAACGGTTATAATTATTATAACTTTAAAGGGACCTTCTATTTATAGCCGTTGGATTTTCATCCAACGGCCCATACTCCTTGGTCATAAGAATCCTCATCATTAGATCAGAAGTATCCAACGGCCTATACTCCTTGGTCATAAGAATCCTCATCCTTAGATCAGGAGAGAATCCTGATCCCTCTTTTTCTTTTCTTCTTTCGGCCGCACAGGAGCAGAATGTGATGGGCTTACTTGCTGAGAGACAAGTCTGATGTGTTCAAGAAAGTGGTTTTGAAATTAAAAAAAAAAAGACTAAGAAGTGATAGAGGTGGCGAATACACTTCACTGGAATTTGATAGGTTATGTGATGATCTCTCTCTGCCAAAAGATCACACTCATTCTTTTTAGGGGGTTTTAACAAAACATTTTCGATATTGTTCATTTTTAACGAAAAATCATATTTTTATCTTTACTTGGTATTATTCAATACACCTTTAAAAAGAACTTTTCATTAAAAATAATTTTTTTTTAAACTTTTCGTTAGTTTTCTTTCTTTTTATCCAAAGAATGGTGCTCACCGGGAAAACCAATTCTCTGCCTTTGAAGTTTTGAACAATACCAAAAGAAAAAAAGAATCTAGCAATCCCTTTTTCTACAAACATGACCATGCCTTTACTGTTCTTTGCAATATTTTATTAGCCGAAAGTTTGCCAAATTATTTGGCCACTAATTCAACATCCCATTCACTTACGAGGAAACTTCCTCGTCAATGAGTGTGGAGTGCCTGGTGGCTAATGGGAACCTTCCTCTTCATATATATGTCCCTCTCAGAATCTGCATATAATTGTCCATGGCCTTGCATATGCTTGCCCTGCATCCATTCATTGCAAGAACCAAGAAACAGAGAGTTTCTCTAGATGGATGCTTTCCGAGATTCTTCTTCCTCCTCTTACCGGTGTTCCTATCATGCCTTCTTGAGTTTCAGAGGCCAGGACACGCGCAAGGGCTTTACTGATCACCTCTATAGAGCCTTGGAGCTAGCAGGAATCCATACGTTTAGAGATGATGATGAAATCAAGAGAGGGGAGAATATTGAGTCGGAGTTAGACAAGGCGATACAGGAGTCACAAGTATCGATAATTGTCTTCTCCAAGGACTACGCTTCCTCAAGGTGGTGTTTGAACGAACTTCTGAAGATCGTGGAACGTAGAAATACTGATCGTAGACATGTGGTTTTGCCAGTTTTCTATGATGTGGATCCATCCGATGTCAGGAAGCAGAGAGGTTCTTTTGCTGAAGCATTTGCCACACATGAGGAGCGATTCAGTACGGAGATGGACAAGGTGGAGCAGTGGAGAAGAGCTCTTGGAGATGTTGCATCTTTGGCAGGCATGGTTTTAGGAGATCGGTAATTTCTATTCTCATTACATTCTCACGCTAATTGAAAGTGTCTTTTAAATTAGAAAACTAGATTTTAATTCCTAAATAAGATGAAGTTTAGGAAAATATTTTATACAAGATTAAAACTCTATTTAATGTCAACGTATATATATTCAGCGTCTCTTGTTTTACTTATAATTTTATGAAAATATTATAAATTTTAATTATCATTATGGTAACATCTTATATAAGAAAATATTTTTATAGAGATTTTTCAGTACACTTATGTTTTTGCATATTTTCTTATCTGCCACTAATTCATTACAATATAGTTAGGTACAAACATTTTGGTATACTGAGTTAGTATAATATGTTTAGATATGGATATTTCGGTAAACTAGTTTAATATAATATATTTAGGTACTGACATTTCGGTACACTAGTTTAGTATCATATAGTTAGGTACAGAATTTTCGATTTACTTATGCTTTTATATATTTTCTTATGTGTCACTAATTCACTACAATATATTTAGGTATGTGCATTTCTGTACATTAATTTAGTAAAATATATTATGATAGGAACGTTTAGGTACACTAATTAGATAAAGTTAAATAAAATTAATGAATTAAAATGTGTATAATAATAAATTTAAAATTTAATGTAATAACATTAAATAAGTTATCTATTAAATATAAAAACAAAAATATAATATGAATTTGAATTAAGTACACATTAAGGGATTAAAATTAATATTCAATCCAACACCAGGTTTTTATTAAATTTTAATCTTCTTGAAGGATTAAAGTTCAAAGACCCCTATAGAAAACTAGATTTTAATCCTTGGTTTAGACTAAAATCATGAGTAAGATCAAAATCTAATTTTTGTCCATTGATACATTAATAACCTCATTTATTAATTATATTTTAATTTTTTTAATTATTTCTCTTTTTCTTCCTAATTTTTAATGTTTTAATTTTATTTCACTACAATTTTCATTTTCATTTCATTTATCGTAATATATTTTGTTGTAAACATTTAGATACACTAATTTTCGTTATACAATATATTTCAATGTACTTTGTCTTTTTCATTTAGGTACATTAAATTCATTATAATATATTTAAGTACACATTTTGGTACATACATTTCAACACAAACATTTAGGTATATTAATTCTATATAAAACATTTCGGTACTAATATTTTAGTGTATATATTTTGGTACACAGATTTATGTACATTAATTTAATATAATACATTTAGGTGCATATTGACACACCCCGTCCCGAAGGAGGGCATGCTGGCCGTCACGTGAGAGTGACGTAACCATTTACACAGTTCGGAAGTTTTAAAATATACAACTTCTAAGATGAACCACCCGAAGGTGAGTCCTCATTTGGTCCATTCTGTCAGAACACCGTTGAATTTCCTCGTAGTCACCACACCTTTGCAATTCTTGAACCTGGAGGGGCGCAAAACCAAAATTGAGTGGGTCAGTAAAACAAATCTTTTTCAGATCCAAACACTTCTCAAAAACTTTGTAACCCCTCTCCGTAAAACTTGTATACTTTCCCAGAAATAAAGTATATACTCATATACGTAATATATCTCAAATTATGCTAGACAATATGAATGTACGTCATGCCAAGTATCATAACAGAATGCTCATCATCTCTATGGGAATATGATGGAATAACATATAATCAATTCAACATTCGGCTATAAACATAGTTCATACTCTTTCATTCTAATCAACTCAGCCCTCGGCTGCATATATAGCTCATAATTAACTCATCACAATCAACTCAGTCATCGACTGCATATATAGCTCATAATCAACTCATCACATCAACCGCATAACATCTGGCCGCCGGAGTCACCTAACGTGACCTGTACGGCTGCATATAGAGCTCAAATCACACTCACAATAACTAAGCAACTGAACCTGCCCACGAGTCGGAACCACCTAATGTGGTCTGTACGACAGGCCTGGGTGTTACGTATATATACGTTCTAGTGCTACGATCACGTAAGACTGGGCGAATAATCGCACGTCACCTACGAGTCGGAACCACCTCATGTGGTCTGTACGACAGGCTATGCACCTAGCTTGGATCCAAGCTGAGCATAAGGTGCGGGGAGGTGAACATCACGTGAAGGACTGGCCCTGCTCAGGGCGAGCACTAACACCGGGGATCAGGTTATGAGCTCTCTAAGCATCTCAAGCTACTCATTCTTCATATCTCAATCATATCTCATGATCGTTATCAGCATAATATCTCAATCATATTTCAATCATATCACAATCATAATTCATTTGTATTTCCATAGTATTTCAATCGTATTCCAAACGTATTTCATACGTATATCAAATGTATTTCAAAGGTATTTCATACGTATATCAACTGTATATCAAATGTATATCAAATGTAGCTTACCTGGGCCTCCTCAGCACCATGCAACAGTATGCATAATTATGGTAATGCACATATTAAAATACGATGCATATATGACAGGATATTTAATTCGTATTTCTTTTAAAATACGTTTTCTAGGAAATACGTCAAGCATATGTATATATATACTGAAAAATAACTGCCCACTCACAGATCACATCGATGTCTCGTAGGTCCCTGAGCCTCCCCTAGATTGGTTACATTCTTCTTCTGTATAATTTTTACCTATACAAAAAGTAACCAAATTGACGTTATTTAACGCGCATACACCAAACATTCGTCAATAACTTTCTCATACGTTGCTCGATTTGGGTATGTGAATATACCACGGTGATCTACACGACGTCACGAACGCGTGACAATTTTCAGAACTCAATTTGGAGCTCTCACGCGCCCCCACGCGCCCTGTTCACGCGCTGCCCACGCGCGCGTCTTCTTCCTCGCGTCGCCGGACTGGTTTCGCCGGAGGTGGGTGTTTTGCCGGAATTTCTGGGTAAACTTCAAAGTGTCATAACTTCTTCATTTCTTAACCATTTTCGACGTACTATATATCAAAATGAAGGTATTGACGAGACGAACACATCCATACCTGCCTCGACCCCTAAATCGCCGTGGATTCGCCGGAAAAAGCCTCGAAAGCTCCGGCCAACTTTGACCACAATAATCCCGACGTCCAAACTTCTCCAACGAAGTATTCCGAGGCTCCTTGGGACCTCACTAAGACATCTACAAGCTTAAAAATCCCAAAAACACGCTAGTTTAAGTTTGCATGAATAGTACCTAAATCGGACTACCTCGAATCGACATGAAAACGAAGGATTTCTCACCTGAAAATGGTATGGTTGCACTCGTACGAGGTTCACGAGTCCAAAAATGCCCTTGGTTCCTTCGATCCATCAAGGTTTGGGTGATGTGTGTGTTGTCCGTACGTTTTCAGAAGGAAGAAGAATGAATGGAGCTCGGGAGAGAGAGAGAGAAAAGTGACAGAAAAGAGACAGAGGGAGAGGAAAACACGGGAGAGTGAGAGACAGTGTGTGTGAGTGTGTGTGTGTGGTCCAACACATGCCACACCACACAAACAACACTAAACGTAAATGTAACGAACTATGGGTAAAAAGGTAAATTCACACATACGTTTTTATAATCTCGGGACGGGATGTCACACATATAATTCGGTACATACATTTCGGTATTAACATTTAAATACATTAGTTAAATATAATACATTTCGGTACTAACATTTAGATACATTAATTGAGTCTTTCAAGTTTGAAGAATGTTAAATAAAATTAATAAATTAAAAAAAAAAACTCTTTTTTGGTCAAAAAATAAATTAAAATTTTGTATAATAATACATTTAAATATTTAATAGGAGACATTAAATAAAATGCACATTAACTATTTTGAATTAAGGACACATCAAGGGATTATAATAAATATGTAATTTAACATCAGGTTTATTTTAAATTTCAATCTTTTTGAATGATTAAAGTTAAAAAACCCCTTTTAAATTAAGTAAAAGGTTTTTTTTAGCCAAAATGATCATGAGATTTGCATAACTCATCACTTTTAAATTAAGTAAAACGTTTTTTTTTAGCCAAAATAATCATGAGATTTGCATAACTCATCACTTTAGTCCCTGAGATTTAAAATCAATAGGAGTCCTTGAGATTGTCCACCATCAATCATTTTGGTCCTTGGGTGAAAAATTAAGTTAAATAAGGATCAAAATGATAAAATTATCCTCAATTTAATAAACAATAGGCCAAAATTATTTGACTAAATTGAGGGTATTTGTATCATTTTATTCTTATTTTATGAAGATTTTTCATTGAATGACCCAAATGTGGACAACTTGGGACCAATTCTATCGATTTCAAATCTCGGGACCAAAGTAAGGAGTTGTGTATTTTGGCTAAAAAACCTTAAGTAAAATTGTAGATGGCAGTGAAGCTTGAAGTTGTTCGATTTTGGTTTATATGCTCCTATATATATACTGCGATTTTGGTTTATATTTTCCTATCGATTTTGGTTTATTTGTTCTCATGCTTATTTCTGCGTCGTATATTTCAATTCAAATGAATTATAGGTATGAGGGGCAGTTCATCCAAGATATTGTTGAAGAGATTAGAAATAAACTGAATCCCGCAGCTTTAGACGTCGCTCCCTTTTCAATTGGAATGGATCATCGTGTGCAACGCCTAAACATGTGGTTACAAGATGGATCAAATGATGTTGGTGTAGCTGTCATCTGTGGGATGGGTGGAATTGGCAAGAGCACTATCGCAAAAGCCGCTTATAACCACAACTTTCGTAGATTTCAAGGTAGCAGCTTTCTTGCAGATATACGAGAATCTTCAGAACAACCCAGTGGTTTTGTTGGCTTGCAAAGAAAACTTCTTTCAGATATCCAAAAGGGGAAAGCAAAGAAAGTATACAATATGGACGAAGGAAGAAGCAGGATCAAACAAGCCGTAGGCTATAAAAAAGTTCTTATTGTTCTTGATGATGTGAGCAACCGAGATCAACTCAATGCAATTCTTGGAATGCGAGAGTGGCTTCATCCAGGAAGTAAAATTATCATAACAACTCGACATGAACATTTGTTAAATGCTCATGAAGTTTTTGAAAAGTTTATGGTTCAAGAACTGGATGAGGATAAATCACTTGAGCTTTTCAGTTGGCATGCCTTCAGACAATCCCATCCAGAAGAAGGTTACATGGAGCTTTCAAGACATGTGGTACAGCACTGTGGAGGGCTTCCATTAGCTCTTGAAGTTCTGGGATCTTCTCTATCCGGAAAAAGTGTAGAAGTATGGCAAAGTGCATTGCAGAAGTTAGACGTGATCCCTAATGACAAAATTCAAAAAGTTCTGAGGATAAGTTTTGATTCTTTACAAGATGATCATGACAAAAATTTATTCCTTCACATAGCCAGTTTCTTCACAGGAAAGAAGATGGATTATACGAGTACAGTGTTGGACAGCTTAGAGTTTTACACAAGGATTGGGATTGAAAATCTAGTTGACAGATGCCTAGTGAAAAATCAATGGATGAACAGGTTGTTCATGCATCAATTGGTGAGAAACATGGCAATGGAAATTATTCGTGAGGAATCACCTGATGACCCCGGAAAACGTAGTAGAGTGTTGCAGAAAGATGCCTCTAATATTTTGAGAAAATTAAGTGTAAGAACTATGTTTTTCATGTGTATGTATTTTTCGTTCTGATTTGCATGTGCAGTACTAATTATATACTTACCCAATTCTCTGATTTGTTAGCAGGGTACGGAAAATGTTAAGGGCCTCATGCTCAACCTTGCTTGCAAAAGAACGTTAATTGGAAGTGATAAACAACGCTGCCATGTTGAAGATTATGATGAAAATTCTTCAAGACGAAGTGGGCTTGGTTTCTTCTCTTGGAAACCAACTAGCTTTTCATCCACAAACTCAGCTTCTGCATCAAATGAGATAGATTTCGAAGCTGAGGCGTTTAGAAGGATGCACAATCTTGTACTTCTCATGCTCAACAACGTCAACGTCTGGGGAAGCTACGAAGAATTTCCAAAAAGTTTAATATGTTTATCTTGGAGAGGATTCCACTTAAAATCAGTACCAGAAAATTTTTATTTGGAAAACCTGGTTGTTCTTGACATGCGAAAAAGTAGCCTACAACATGTTTGGAATGGGATCAGGGTATGTAACTCTCTCTCTCTCTCTCTCTCTTTCTCTCACACATGTCCATTATATCTTCTTAGAAATTGATTAATACTTGTTATTGAAACAGTCTCTTCCGAGGCTGAAAATTCTTGATCTCAGTCATTCGCATGGCCTTAGGACAACCTCCAACTTCTCAGGACTCCCTAACCTTGAGAGATTGATTCTTAAACATTGCATAAATTTGGTTGAGGTTGATGAGTCCATCGGATACCTAGAGAAACTTGTTTTGAATCTAGGAGGCTGCAAAAATCTCATGAAGCTTCCAATATTGAGATCTGTGCGGGATCTTGATCTTTCTGGTTGCTCAAAGCTTGTGCTTGGTGCCAATACGACTGCCACAACTGATCACTTACCTAAATCATGGTATTCAATCTGGTCGTGGGTGTCGCTGAGAAAAAATATTGAATCAAGCAGTTTCTCATTGGCAAGTTTACCGCATTCCTTAACAAGTTTACGTCTGGATCGCTGCAATCTATCAGAGATTCCGAGTGCCCTTACTATGCTGCCTTCGTTAGAGTACTTGGATCTGAATAACAATCCAATTACAAGCCTACCAGAGAGCATGAACAATCTTGTTAAGCTTCGCACTCTTGCAGTAGAAGGTTGCAGAAACCTCACAATGCTTCCAGAGCTCCCACATGGTTTGAAACAATTGAATGGTAGAGGTTGCACATCATTGAAAAGAATAACAAATTTACCGAACTTGCACATATCACCGCCCACACATTCCTTACCTGACGTGTAACAACCCGTCCCGGGATTTAAGTAAGAAAATGGGTATTTTTGTATTTTTTATTAAGTTTGGGGAATACCTTTCTTTTTAAAATTGTTCTTGAACCTTAATTGGTGAGCCCAAGGGGCCCACCCCCTGTTTTTGTCCCCCGGTTCCTTCCCTTTCCCTTTTCTTTTCTTTTTTTTTTTCTGAAAAGTCTTCTCCTCTCTTCTCTCTTTCTTCCCCCGTGCTCTCTCCTTTCCCCCCCCTCTCGGTCCGACAAGAACACACCCACACACACACACACACACACACCCATGCCCACGCCTATAACTCTTTTCTAACCCCGTGGATGTGTTTTGGGACGTCAAACCACGGAGAAACCACCTCGGGAGACATTTCCCAGTTTTCCGGCGAGCACCGCCCCTTTCGAGGCGATTTCCGGCCAAACCACGGCGAGTTGGCCGGCGTGCGAGGTATCAATCTCTTCGTCTCGCTGAGTACTACAACTTTCCTTTTTGTTTCACCTAATTTCATTGAGTATTGAAGAAGTTATACTCATTTGAATCTTACCCAGTTTCCGGCGGACACCCGTGGCTTCCAGGCTGTTTTCCGGCAAACTCCGACCACGATGACGGGAACCAAGGGTATATTTCGATTCCTTACCTTCGGGGCTTCATTTTGGTATATTGAATGACATGTTTTGGTTGAGTTGTGAGCTCCAACGGAGCTTGGGAATTCTCCGGCCGAAAACCGGCCTTCTCCTTCCTTGGAATCCGGCGACCACCAAACCCAAAGGCCTTAGGGCCTTGGTTGCAGCCCAAACCCATTTTCTATTAGCCCAAAACCCAAACCCATTTTCCTTTTTACCCAAACCCAGCCCACTTAAAAACCTAACCCAAAACCCTAACCCAAAACCCTAAAACCTAAACCCAATTACCCTAACCCAAACCCTTAGGCCCAAACCCGGATCCAATACCCAAACCCTAAAGCCTGACCCGTTGACCCGTGACCCGTTGACCCGTTGACCGTTGACCCAGTCAACGGTCAGCGTTGACTTTGACCGGTCAACGGTCAACGTTGACTTTGACCTCCGGGTTGACTTTTTCGGTTTTTGTGCGGGACCCCTCATAGGCTAATTTCGACGTCCTGAACCCGTTTCCGATGTCCGTTTTCCCAAATTCAACCGTTTGAGTAGAGTTTGACTAAATGTACCATTTATGTGCTTAGGGGCAATTATCTGTGGCGTTTCCTTCTTCGCTAGATGGCGTGGCTTTTCGACGGCGAAGTACTGTGAGTGGACCCCTTCTAAAAATGCATGTTTTAATGGTAGAATTGCATACACAGAAAAGCATGTTTTGATGATTATGTTTTATGAAACGTTTTACGAGATAATATGCTTACTGAGGCTAGTTTGAATTATTACTATTTTTCCTATAACCCATGTTCTTATAGAATATCTGATGGATGACGATATGATATTTAGAACATGTTTAGAACACCTCTTTATAGTATAGATGATGGATGACTTTATACTATGAAGTTGATTTTCAATATATGTATGTTCACTGGTTTTGTACTTACCTAGTGGTCCTTTCCGCTACGGGACGTAGGGATAGATCCGGTCCGTCCCGGGCGACGGTTTGGTGTTGGCATAGGGCCTGGAGTGTGTTTTCCTCTGACTGTCTGCTCAGAGACGGGGAGCCGGCATGGGGCCTGAAGTGTATTTTCCTCTGACTGTGTGCTCAGAGACGGGGAGCCGGCATGGGGCCTGAAGTGTTATATCGGACATTCACTAGTGTTTATTATTTATGAGATTTATGATTTGAGATATTGCACGACATGCTAGGTTTCGGAAAACCTATGTTTATCATCATATATATGTGTTTTCATAAAACCTGGGGGTTAGTATGTTGATAACTGTTTTATTATATATATATATATCAACTTGGTCCACTCATGTTTGTTTTGCGCCCCCTTCAGGACTTAGAATCGAGGCATACAATCCTGACGTCCAGGCACTTCCGCATTGGCATCTTCGAGTCCTCTCGGTGTAGGACCCACTTCTTGTTTCATTCAATTTTATATTATTTTCTTTTAGTGTTCTAGATTAGTGGTGTGCTCTGAACACGGTCCTTATTTGCATATTCATTATTCTTTTACATTTATAAACCTTATTTATCCTTTATTTTCAGCATTTGCACTTAATAAATGGCTTTCGTCACCCTCGGGTGTCGGCCAGCACGTGCCTATCCTGGTATTCGGGAAATATCGGGGTCGGGGCGTGTCAGATTGGTATCAGAGCGTGATTTTGTTCAGAGCATACTTAGGACCTTCTATTACTGTAGTAGTGTGTCTGTCATGACATCATTTGGATGTCACGACTTCCGGTTTTGGTATCATTCGGCATAGTTGTGCAAACCTTTCTCTGTTTGAATTTTCACCTTCTGGTTGAAATACAAGAATTCGTGTCGGGATTGTGCCTCAGTAGTGATGAAGTGGATTGTTGGATGACTTTCGACATCGGATCGATACTCTACATCGTGCATTCCCTGGGAATTTCGGACATAATTGGATTTACCTAGGAGCGTTGAGAAACGGAAAAACTCTAAGTGAGTTGAATTTGGAAGATCTGAAGCGGTTTTGTACTTTACGACGTGCATTCTCAGGGAATGGCGGGCACAGTTAGTGTTACTTGGAAGCGACGTGTTCTAGAAATCTTAGTTTGAGGAAGTCTGGTCGAGGCCAGTAGTGGATACGAAATGGCGATGCCACTCTGCAACATGCGTTCCCTAGGAATTGCGGGCAGAGTCGGCTCTACATCGAAATCTCGAGAAGTGGAAAAATCTTGACGGTACGAGTTGGTTGAGATCAACTAGAACCCTGAAACGATGACATCACTCTGCGACATGCGTTCCCTAGGAACGGCGGGCAGAGTCATTGCAGTGGCAATTACTTGAAATATTCGAAGTGCGTGTTTGAGAAAGCAAGTAAGCATTGGTGGTGACGACGATTAGTAAGTGGTAGTTGGCGGGAGCAAATCAATGTTCTCAGGCTCATTACCACTGAAGAAACCCGTGTGAATCGGTAGAATGAATTTTCGATGATTGTTCTATCAGTAACCTCTTTGCTTACCTCAATGGCGAAGTCAAGTTCCTTAACCTTTGACCGTTAGCTCTACACCAAATTCTTCGGGCGTTGACTTCATTTAGATTAGAAAATTTCTTAAGTGACTCTTCGGTAGCAGATGTTATTCCCACCAATTTTCCAAAAGGAGTTGCGATTCTTTTGTTATTGTAGTTGTATTTGGTTGATGAAGATCCATACTTGTTTGGATAAACAGACTTCTTGAACTTCACCTGGATTTGGCACTAGACGGTAAATCCTAGCACCTTGTCCATATACTTTCGGTGGAGGTGAACTTAGCCTCTTGCGTGTAGCCCAACTGACCAGTACTCTTGTCCAGTAATTGTTTAGCCTTATAATTTTCAGTGTAATGGCTTGAGACTACCATATTCTTCATTGTACGAAGATCGAGCTTTACTTTGAACTTCCCTGGACTCATTGAGCTTTGGTTTGCTCAAGGGTATCACTTGGAGTTAGCCAATCGTGTCATTGCATGCTTATAAAGACTGCTTTGTATCTTTCTTCTTCGTCATTCTGTTGGTTTAGAGGTTCTATGTTTAATTTTTGAACTTTGAAATAGCTCTCACAAAGTATTGTGAATTTCGAAATGTCTTTGGCCTCGTCAGATCTTATTAACAGTTCTTGACTATTCTTGAGCTTATACCTATTTCCTTTTTGGCTAAGGAACCAGTCAACCTTACCGTGTTGATTAACGAAATAATCATAAACAGTGATTTCTATTTCTGCATCTTTACCTTCCTTCGTTGGTTTGTTTCTCATCCAGATATTTTGTACTCTAGTTTTAATAAACTTGTTTTGATCCTCAAATTCTTGAGTGTTCTTCTAGCCTTCTTTACATGGTTTCTCGCTCAATCAGTGAAGAATTCACGATCGATCAATTCGGTGGAAGTTTGTGCCCAATTCTTATCATTTCAGAAGAAATGTTACGAGCATAATCTTTTCATAAGCTTATCCTACTTACCAGAAAAAGTTCCACGTGGGTGTGAGGTTGGAGTCGTTTTGTGGTAAGAGATTGGTGAAGATTGTGGTGTAGGTGAGCAGCAGATTGCATCATTACCTTCACGCTGAATTGAATGGTCACCACTCATTATCTTGCTACAATTCATAACCATCATATCGTACTTTGGTAGACCTTTTCAATGATGTGATGTGTTCGCCTCAATGTAGCTTTCCACTACCTTGACACCAGGATCCTTCAGTTCGTGAGCACGTGAGCGTGATGTTTGGATGAAGGTTTGAGTACAGAAGGTCAGCGGATTGTATCATCATCTTACTATAATTCATAGGCATCACATTGGTTCTTTCCCAATGTTACGTGTCGTCTCAACTCATCTTTTCATTGTTTCGCTTCAAGACTCTGTTGTTGTGAGTACGTGGTTATTGAAACACTTCTAGCAGATCTGTTTAGTGTACTCTGGGTTGGCACCATATCATGGTCGAGGCGAGAATCGAATAATCTTTACACTTCTCTCGAAAGGTGTGTACTTTCATTTGTTTGAGGTTGATCACTTGAGAGTCCTTCTTTCCATCAACTTTGACCTTGTTTTACTAGAAATCTGCAACTAAGCAAAATTGGAGGGGTGGTTCGAGCACTACAATGATTCCCAAGAGATACCGCTTGTTGGGAAAGGTGACTTCGCGTTTTCTGCTTACTTGGCTTGAGTTTGTGGGTCTACTAGTAACATGGTAGCCACTTCCTTTGAATCCCAAGGTACAGTTTTCAAATGGGTTCTTTGTTGGCAAAACACTGGAGTAGTTGGTCACATTTGGAAGAATTGAGGAGGAAAGTATGCTTGATACTGGATAGAGTTTTATGACGACAGTTTCTGTTTTGTTCGGTTTGAGTACGCCATTTTTGCGACATGGTATGAGAGTTCTACAGGCAATACTAGTTAGCAGAGGAGTATTGGGAACTAGTATTCGAAAGATTGAATTTACGACGTGTGAAATTGTGCATCCTCAGCAAATTACCGCTTGCTTATGGAGACAACAAATGTGTGATTGATATCACGGGCGGCCGACTGTGGTATTGAAAACTTATTCGTTGGGTTCGTTAAGCAAGTGGGCAGGAAGATTCGTCTTCAGCAGTTGGTACAGATTTGCTATTGTTAGGACTTGACCTAGAGACGCATCTTTTCTCGGAGTACGTGACATTCGTATGCTTAGGCGAGACCCACTCTCATTTTTCAGTTTTGAGTTCAGTTTTGATTTTCAATAAGTATTTTAACTTCCTTTTCTTTAATTATTTGTTTTCGACGTTACAAATGTTTTGGCGAAAGTATTTCCATTTTCAGTTTTAAGTTAAACGCGAGTTTTCGACCTATATGTTAGTACATATCTATTTTGACTATTTTGATGCTATAGTATTTTGCGTACTTATTTTTGACCTTATGTCAATATATGTTTTCGACTTTATATCTTATTAAAGTATGTTTCTACTTTTACACTGATGGGGAAGAAAGTAAGAGCTTGGAGGCATGATAGAGGATTTGGCAACCCGTTCGCGACGGTGTGGCATATTCTCTTTGATGCACCCACTCTGACTTGAATTCTCTTTATACATATATTCTTCTTCCTATTTTTGAGTATTTCTGTTTAAGTTGTGATTTTAAATTTCGGGACGAAATTCTTTTAAGGAGGGTAGATTGTAACAACCCGTCCCGGGATTTAAGTAAGAAAATGGGTATTTTTGTATTTTTTATTAAGTTTGGGGAATACCTTTCTTTTTAAAATTGTTCTTGAACCTTAATTGGTGAGCCCAAGGGGCCCACCCCCTGTTTTTGTCCCCCGGTTCCTTCCCTTTCCCTTTTCTTTTCTTTTTTTTTTTCTGAAAAGTCTTCTCCTCTCTTCTCTCTTTCTTCCCCCGTGCTCTCTCCTTTCCCCCCCCTCTCGGTCCGACAAGAACACACCCACACACACACACACACACACACCCATGCCCACGCCTATAACTCTTTTCTAACCCCGTGGATGTGTTTTGGGACGTCAAACCACGGAGAAACCACCTCGGGAGACATTTCCCAGTTTTCCGGCGAGCACCGCCCCTTTCGAGGCGATTTCCGGCCAAACCACGGCGAGTTGGCCGGCGTGCGAGGTATCAATCTCTTCGTCTCGCTGAGTACTACAACTTTCCTTTTTGTTTCACCTAATTTCATTGAGTATTGAAGAAGTTATACTCATTTGAATCTTACCCAGTTTCCGGCGGACACCCGTGGCTTCCAGGCTGTTTTCCGGCAAACTCCGACCACGATGACGGGAACCAAGGGTATATTTCGATTCCTTACCTTCGGGGCTTCATTTTGGTATATTGAATGACATGTTTTGGTTGAGTTGTGAGCTCCAACGGAGCTTGGGAATTCTCCGGCCGAAAACCGGCCTTCTCCTTCCTTGGAATCCGGCGACCACCAAACCCAAAGGCCTTAGGGCCTTGGTTGCAGCCCAAACCCATTTTCTATTAGCCCAAAACCCAAACCCATTTTCCTTTTTACCCAAACCCAGCCCACTTAAAAACCTAACCCAAAACCCTAACCCAAAACCCTAAAACCTAAACCCAATTACCCTAACCCAAACCCTTAGGCCCAAACCCGGATCCAATACCCAAACCCTAAAGCCTGACCCGTTGACCCGTGACCCGTTGACCCGTTGACCGTTGACCCAGTCAACGGTCAGCGTTGACTTTGACCGGCAACGGTCAACGTTGACTTTGACCTCCGGGTTGACTTTTTCGGTTTTTGTGCGGGACCCCTCATAGGCTAATTTCGACGTCCTGAACCCGTTTCCGATGTCCGTTTTCCCAAATTCAACCGTTTGAGTAGAGTTTGACTAAATGTACCATTTATGTGCTTAGGGGCAATTATCTGTGGCGTTTCCTTCTTCGCTAGATGGCGTGGCTTTTCGACGGCGAAGTACTGTGAGTGGACCCCTTCTAAAAATGCATGTTTTAATGGTAGAATTGCATACACAGAAAAGCATGTTTTGATGATTATGTTTTATGAAACGTTTTACGAGATAATATGCTTACTGAGGCTAGTTTGAATTATTACTATTTTTCCTATAACCCATGTTCTTATAGAATATCTGATGGATGACGATATGATATTTAGAACATGTTTAGAACACCTCTTTATAGTATAGATGATGGATGACTTTATACTATGAAGTTGATTTTCAATATATGTATGTTCACTGGTTTTGTACTTACCTAGTGGTCCTTTCCGCTACGGGACGTAGGGATAGATCCGGTCCGTCCCGGGCGACGGTTTGGTGTTGGCATAGGGCCTGGAGTGTGTTTTCCTCTGACTGTCTGCTCAGAGACGGGGAGCCGGCATGGGGCCTGAAGTGTATTTTCCTCTGACTGTGTGCTCAGAGACGGGGAGCCGGCATGGGGCCTGAAGTGTTATATCGGACATTCACTAGTGTTTATTATTTATGAGATTTATGATTTGAGATATTGCACGACATGCTAGGTTTCGGAAAACCTATGTTTATCATCATATATATGTGTTTTCATAAAACCTGGGGGTTAGTATGTTGATAACTGTTTTATTATATATATATATATATCAACTTGGTCCACTCATGTTTGTTTTGCGCCCCCTTCAGGACTTAGAATCGAGGCATACAATCCTGACGTCCAGGCACTTCCGCATTGGCATCTTCGAGTCCTCTCGGTGTAGGACCCACTTCTTGTTTCATTCAATTTTATATTATTTTCTTTTAGTGTTCTAGATTAGTGGTGTGCTCTGAACACGGTCCTTATTTGCATATTCATTATTCTTTTACATTTATAAACCTTATTTATCCTTTATTTTCAGCATTTGCACTTAATAAATGGCTTTCGTCACCCTCGGGTGTCGGCCAGCACGTGCCTATCCTGGTATTCGGGAAATATCGGGGTCGGGGCGTGTCATGACGGCATAATGGAACCATATTTAGGGTTGTACAACATATTATTGGACTCAAATTTATGGTATTGTGGGAAACTAGTTGATGTTGCAAGCTTGTTCAATACACTACCATTGAGCAGCTTTGACATAAAACTCCTCAAAGATATCGATCTATTCGATTTGTTCGATTTGAGACCCAACGGTGGCATTGAGGTCGAAAGGAACAACTATTGTGCAAGTAGGCGCTCCAAGGTTCTCTCTCTCTCTCTCTCTCTCTCTCTCTCTCTGCTATGTACAAGTGCTTATAATATGATCTCTATGGCGTAAACAATTAGATTGTAATCACAACATCACCATGAAACTGCAGGGAACTTTTGACTGCGCCATATATAGCATTTTTCTCCATGAGAGCAAGATTCCAGATCGGTTCAATTACAGGAGCATGGGTAACACTGTTTTCTCTATTATTGTTCCTTCACATCTTAATATCAAGATCGTAGGTTTAAATGCATGTATATTGTATGCCCCGCAATCGGATCGAAGCCCTGAGATTGCACGTGGCCATCATCGCCCTTCGCTTGAACTTAGGAATGAGACAAAGGGCCTTAAGTGGAGATTAGAAATGTTGACAGGGTTTGAATGGAAAGTGATGAACGAAGATATGTTATGGCTAAGCCATTGGATTATGGGGAACAATGAATTGGAATGCGGGGAAGAAGTGTGTTTTAAAAAAATCGACGAGCAAGACGGTTTCGTCACAAAGGAGATTGGAGTCCAGTTTGTGTACGAGCAGCAAAATAAGGATAAGGAGGATGTCCCATCAAGTAGTGGAGATGCAATGATCCTACGTTGCAGATCGAGCGCATCTTTCGCTGGACCGGTGTACCCACGCCTTGATACCATGGGACCGGACATTTTAGGCTTTAAGAAAAGGATCCGTAACTGCAAGAATGAATCTATGTCAACTGTCGTCTGCCATGTTCGTTACGATCTCTGTAACCATGCAGTGATCGATTCAAATGATTATTGGTAACGAGTGCTCTAAACTATTACCCAGTTGAATTCAAACTAATGTTGGTGATGCACAAATCACTAGATTCAAATGATTATTGGTTGTTAAGCTTCGTTTCTATCTATTTTCAATTTTTCCCTAAAAAATTGTTTTCAATAATTTAATATACAAAATTTCATGCCAAACAAGTTCTTGCCTGTATAAAGTATGAATTTAAAACCCAATTTTAAGAAAAATAAAGTTTTAGAGCCCAACTAGAAAATAAGCCCACACGTTGCGGCATGAACCAACTGTTTCAGGCATAGCTGCATAAATAAGACACATTTCAGGCGTAACTGCATACATAAATAAGACACAAAGTGCAGGAAGTAAAGCTCATATTTTTAGCAGTGTTATTTTAACAACAATTCTTCAAGTGGTGGATTGCCCTGGTGGGTAGGGCATTTCTCTTAGTCCTACTGCATTCCGGGTTCAAAGTTCCAACCATCCCCAGTACCAGTTTAAGCACACCAAAGAACAAATTTAGCATCTTCTGTCGTCATCCACCCAACCCCAGCAGATACTCATACAAAATTCAAACAGAACTTGCCAAATTCATCCTCTTAAAATACAAAACGAAAATAGTTTATGATCACTGACCTCTTTGAATCGAATGATATTCGGATTCTTCAGTGATCTGTGGTTCATGATTTCCCTTTGAACATGTTCATCCATCCGCATCACCAAAAAAAAAAATATATATATATATATATATATTTTAAAAAAAATACAAAATGAAAATAGTTTATTATCACTAACCTCTTTGGATCGAATGATATTCGGATGGTCCAGTGATCTAGGGTTCATGATTTCCCTTTGAACATGTTCATCTATCTGCATCACCAAAAAATTAATAAATATTTAAAAAAAAATACGAAATTTAAAGGATAAGAATTGCGAAGATTCTTAGGTCTTAGTTCGGAATGAAATAGCTCGTCTCACCTCCATATATTAACAAATCTTAGTCTATATGATTTTGCCAGAGCCACCGAATGTTGAATATATATCTGTTGAATATTCTACTACCATCAACATTATAAAGGTTTCTAATTGAATCATATGTTTAAAATCCAAGCATGAAAGCTTTACAGAGATAAATAAACAAATGTAAATAATTAATTAGGCAGTACACAGCAGAGAGGGGAGAGAGAAAGAGCAGTTGAAGGAGTGAGAAGCAAAGTAGCACAGCAAGTGGAGAGTAAGCAATTAAGCATAGTCATCTCACGTAGGGAATGCCTGAGAACTGATCTTTGCTTCTCTTCCTTATGATCCTCTTAAATGCAATTCTACACATTTCTAAACCAAATTTACAAAGCAGAATTCAAAGAAATTTAAAGAAACCTAGTAAAGATTCAAACTTTTTTATTATCCAAAAGATATACATAACCCCATGTAACAAAAACAAATTTATGACACAAACGACATGATCTTTGGCCACAAAAAGCAAAAGAGAGAGAGATTTTGCTTTTTGCACTATGCAGAATGTGCAGAGAATCAATATATCACAACCCATTTAACAATATGATATTTTAGGCAATAAGGCATCACATTTAGACCCCAAATGAAAGAAATTGAGAGAGAGAGAGAGAGAGAGAGGGCATAAGTGGTTGCCAAGAAGAGGAAGAAAGCAATTCTATTTCCTGTAAAAACGAAGAAACAGAGCATTAACAAACACACATGCACAAATCTCAACATACTAAAGCAACATATTAAAGCATCCAAACACAGACTCAGAATTACAAAACGCATGGAAACTCACATTCCAACGTGTTATGCAAATGCAATCACCAATTTCAGGTCAACCAAAACCAAATAAATTTATATCAGTACGCATCAAACCCACCAAACCCAAAATCAAAAGAAGGTGATCAAATGTTTGATTTTGCTAAATATTACAAAATAAAATAAACAAGAATATGTACAAATCAGCATGCATACCTTGCAGCGGTGCAGGGAACAGTAGCATGAGCTGCATCGAGGGCATGTGTACTGGGAAAATTGTTACTGGCAGCTGCAATTAACAAAAACAAAAACAAAAACAAAAAAAATTGAATAAAATCAAAATCGGAAAATTTTCCAGAAAATAAATAAAACAAATTATCAAGCTTTGTTGATGAAAGAGAGGTGGGGTTGGAGAAGAACATACACGCGGCTATGAGCAGCAGACAAAAGATTTCAAAATGATTTCTTGACCCTTCAATCAGGACATGCACGAATACAAAAATGGCAGAGAGGATTAAAACCATACCAAACAGTAGAAATCAAGTATAAAAATGGTACTTACCTTGTGAATGAGGACATGCAGACACATGATGGATGAAGGACAGCAAATCCCGCATACACGAACCTAACTTGCCACTGTTCGCCACCCCCACCCCTCCCTATCTCTTCCTGCAATCCCGACGATTTCTCTCACTGTCACCCTCCCACTCCCGAATCGAATATCCGCACAAAATCTCTCTCTTTCTCTCTCTCTCGGTTTCTCTCACTGTCACCCTCCCACTCCCGAATCGAAATCCGCACGAAATCTCTCTCCCTCTACAAGCCGCATGGCCGCTGTCCCGCTCTGTCTGCCCTCACCATCAATCCCAATCCCAAAATTAAGATGACAAAAATGCCCTGCAGCCCTTTAATTCTAGCCGCGTGATCCTAACCCTAGATGAATATTTCCGTCATTTGAACACCCAAGGTATCTCATCAAATGTGGATGTACCCGTCATAGTATGAATCTGAGAATTTCTCAGTTCAACTCTCGAAATTACTGTGACAGTATTAATATATCATGTGGAATGAGGTGGGATTATGGTAAAAGATAGAACTTTAGCTGATGGTAAACAACATTTGGGAATTTGATGTAAGCCGGCTGGGAATCCCAAATGTTGTTTACCATAAGCTAAAGTCTAAATCTCTGATAAAAAAATAATAATAATAAAAAGCACATCTCAAACTGATAAGGACCATAATTTTCAAGTCACACTGCTTTTCAATGGTTATCATAAAAAAAAAAATCATAAAAGAACTGATCATTTGAATTATTCATGACAGAACCATTTTTGATTTGAAATATGATGGCCAAGAACAAATCACACTGCTTTTCAATGGTTACCATAAATTTTCAAAAGTTACAGGAGATTTTTTATCAATTGAAAAGACAACGGTCACATATATCTACAATTAACCACCAATAAGTGTGATATATTACATCACAATGCAATAGCAGCTATCCAGGATGCCATGCCATTTATACTATGACAAATCACAAAAGTGACAATTAAAGGGCACCTAACGGACACCCCATCTCTCTCTCTCTCTCTCTCTGCCATCTCTCTGCCATCGCAGAAATCCCTCGAGTTTCAGGAAGCAAATGGAAAACGAAATGCTTTTCCATCCCCTACCCATACCCATACCTCCCTTACCCGTTCCCTTTACCCTCGCTGAAAATCCTCCCATCTCTCTCTCTCACCCTTGTCCCATCTCTCTGTCTGCAAATCGCAGAAAAGAAACCCTAAACAAATCCCTGAAATCCCTCGCCTAAATCCTCCCACATTTCTCTCGAACACCCCCTATCTCTCTCTCTGCAAACCCTAAACCAAATCTCCTAAATCCTATCTCGGACACCCCACATACAGCCAAGAAGCCAAGATATTAAAGCAATCTCTACATAATACTTTGGAACAATGAAGCAAAACGGTACTTGCTTGTTCCTTGTTCAAAACCGTTGGTGCCACCGCACATTGTTATCAATTGTGGGTTGATCAAATCCTTCATGGCTTAGACTGCATGAAGAATTAGAAACTAAAAGATGAATATATGCTGTAAATCATCATATAAATGTAACTGCATTTAAAAAAAACAAGGGAATGAAAAAATTGAATTCTATTTCATCGGTTTATAACTGCATGAAAAGTTACATTGAATGCAGACTCAATCAATTTCCCCAGTCATTGTTAACTGAAAATCAATACCAAACCCATAAATAACACCATTGAATTTGGCAAAACCCAAAAACAAAATACAAAAATTTACTCATATAATCACAGAAAAACATGAAATTTGAGCACCCATTTGGCCAAGTTAAAGGATAAAGGCACTCACATCATCGTAGTACTCTTTGGGAAGATCTTCTAATATTGGTTCTTCCTTTTTCTTGCTCTTCCTCATAGCTGCCATAAAAAACCCAGAGAAGCACACATTCAGAAAAGAAAAGGTCCAAAACTGCCACAAAAACCAAATGATGTGAGCGAGTAGTGAGAGGTTGTGTTAGGCACCTGGAACACGTTTTGGTTTCAACTGAAAGGGCCAGAGCGTTGCATGCGAGGAAGATGATGATAGGATTCCAGAGACAACATCCACATTCTTTTTTCTTGGGTGAACTAACCAAACCATATTATATACTAAAACGACATCAAAAATCATTCACAAAATGACAACAAAATAGAACAAAAACATTCACAAAAGAATTCCCCAAGTTTTCAAATGGAAATTAAACATTTACATAGCTTATATAAAAAGCCAAAACATAAAATATTAATCAGAAGGTTGAGAGAACTCACATCCCAGTAATGCTTATTGCTGATATTAACACCCACTGACAGCAGCCCTTGGTTTGTGGAATTCCCATGCCCAACTCCATGACCTCTGTCTCTGCCATCCCTCTCTCCCTCACAACCATACCCACTTTCGACCCACCCCTCAATCCCGACACCAACCCTTGATTTGAGGAGGAAAAATCAATCCAACCACCCTTTTCGCAAGCCTCACTCCTCCCTCACCCTTCCCCTCCCCGCCAATCCATGCCCATCTCCCTCGTTGTAGCTCTGCAACCCACGTTTTTTGGCACCAAAAACTATGTCCTAGGATGATGTGACAATTTACCAAAGTCAGAAAATGCATTATCTCAGTTTATATTAGTTTAGTTTAGGTTGGTAGCATATATGATCCCCGTGCAGCAACATAGAATACTTAGTAAAAGTTGCATTTCTGAGAACAAATAACCAACATGCTTGACCGAAAAAACAATGCAGATGCTTTAGTAATACAAAATTACAGTTTTATTCAAGTTTCTCAGTCACAAACTAACCTTCCTATGTTGAGCAGCAAGGAAGAGGGGGAGAAAATTGATTCCTGGAGGAGCTTTTTCGTTCAAAACTAAGTCGAGCTGCGAGGATGAAGGGTCGAGGATTGTTCGTGAGCTGGTGTTGCGGATATAAACATATAGAAATCTCCACTGTCTCATAACAAACACAAATCGAATATGATCACCATGTCACATTAATTACCTAAAATTCAAAATGTTATATACATTAGGATGTTGAACAAATTAGTTACATTTCATTAAACTAAAAAATTTACAGAATATGAGAAATAAAGAATTTGTATTGTTTATATGAAAATAGAATAACAAAGAACATCATTGAGTCATTGACTACCATTTTATTCGGTAGTTTCCTCCAACCGCAATTGTTGAGATTGTAGGAGATCTTCGAATAAAACCTTTAATTCAACCATCCGTACATAAACATAATAGACAATGTTTTTTAGCGAATTATGGACAAAGCTTAATATTCAAATGCAATGAAGTGGAAAACAAAATCCAATTCTAGGACGAATTGAATCCTTATTAATCCTTCCTGTTCTAGTACCTAAGAACCAATGAAGTGGCACTATATGAATATACATGCTATAAGAAACCATTCATTTGTAGATGGTATTGTGTCACTAATATTGTATTTAAAAATCTACCCATGATAAAGATGCAATATCTAGTTCGGTACAAAATCAAAACGAAGAGTTAACAAAGGAAAAGGATTAAGACGTTGAAAATACAAAACTGGATTCTTTTATTTGGTAAAGACGGTTCCCCCACTGGCTGTCTGAAACCACAAACACTTCTTTACATAGAAACTTTATAAACTAATAGATTAAAATAAATCTAAGTGTTATAAACGAAAAATCCTGGGATTGATAGCAATGGCATCAACATTGCCACCACATCCCAAATAAATGAATGAAAATATAGTGATTAACGTCCAACTAAGAAGCTCAAGCTTGAACATAAACCAAGGCATAAGAGCTTACCAAACTTTTCAAATGGCTAAATTGTTCATTTAACTTGATAACTTCTTCCTGCGAACCATAAGTAAGATCATTAGATGCGGTAAATAAAACATCATACTTCATCCATGGCAATCTAGCAGAGAAACCAATTGCATTCAGATGGAACCTAATTTGTGGAACTACATTTATATGCACTGAAATGCATTATCATGTTGTCATATTTAAAACTGAGGTTTATGCTATCTTTAGCATACACAAAAGTTTTGCCCCTCATTTTTGAAGTTCTGCGCTTCATAATTTATATACTTTCAGTTTCCCTTCTAATGAAGGTATGGACTGCTTTCCATTTGGAATTTTCGTAAGACAATGTTATGATATTCCTAATTTCAAATGTGTTTCCATTCCTAAATCATAAATATTGTACAATTAGATCTCAATTACTCTGATGTGTTTGAGCATGTGGCAGGGCATGAGAATCAGAATCACTCCCTGTTGTTCTCCGCTTCGTGATTTGGTCATCAAACAATACTTCATTCCCTCCATCCGTTATCACATCTTCTTGGTGATCATTAGTTCGTCTCCAAACTGTATCCACAAAAAACTACAAATTAATCCCAAAAACAGTCATACAAAAAAATTGCGGATTAGAGTCGATTACATACCATTTTCCCAGGATGTAGAGCTCCGTGATGATTCCCTCCTCGTTTTGCACCTTAAACATCAACATTTTAAACCACAAACCAAAATCAAACAAACATAAAGAAATACGACTGACAGAATCACACTGTAAGCCACCACTCCCTCGCTTCCACGGTTCCACCCACAACACCAAAAACAACAATAACAATAATAACAATGTACACTCAGACAAAACAAAAATGCACCAAAGCCCTCCAGTGCTATAACAGCACTTCTACGACAACTTCGATATCTATGGACTGTTCCTTTCTCCATGTTACAACGATAGTATTAGAGCTCTTACAGCATCATAGATGCATGATCAAGGGTGTATTCGAAAACCTTTTCTCTGATCCTTTTCATCAGTTGGTCCTAAAGATTGTATTCTTTTAAATTCATCTCCTTACAAAATCCAGACGTTAACCTTGATAGTCCTACTTTATAATAAACTACTACTTATGCCTTGTCTTCTAAATTCAGCTAAACTGAAGTAAGACGACCTGTTCAAACTTCTACAAATTTGCTGTTCAAATCCTATGCACAAGTCATGTTGAATAGACCTTCCCAACTTCAACATGTGCTTAAGTGCTTATTACCGTCATTTTCATATGAAGTGCTTAAGTGCTTATCACCGTCATTTTCATATCTAAATTAAAAAAAAATCACTGTCCTAGTTTGAATTTTAAACAAATTCCCAATAGTCACACCTAACCCTTAACTATTAGTTGAATAAAAGGTTTTTCCAATCGAAAAAATGAACAAAAATGACGGATTTTGCAGCTGGCTTCGTAAAGTTGCACAATAAAAGGTTTTTTACTCTAAGAAGTACCAAAGAAAGTCAAAAACTTCATATCTGATAACAAGAAAACAAACAAACAAAAAAGTAGAAACAATTTAATTCATGCAATACATTTCCTTCCCAGTTCAAAATTTTAGCTAACAATTTAACTGATTTCGTCTGTTTTCATAAATTCTCAGAAATTAACAGTCGAAAAACACAAATTAAAGAGGGAAAAAAGTGAACTTCCTCAATTTTTCAGATAAGTGAAGTCGCTAGCTTCAGAGACACAAACTGAGCTATATTGAAATATGTATACGTATATTTATTATAAGGGGTAGAAGGTAGGGTTAAGGTTACCTGGTAAGAGAAGGGCAGCAGGGAGAAAGAGGTTGTGCTGTCTGCAGAGATTGGAAATGGAGAGGGAGGGAAGAGGACTGAACCCCCAATAAACCCTTTCGTTGTATGTTTTTCATTTTTCTACTTCTCGTTATTTTATCCAACTTTGCAGTATTTGCAAAACAGGCCAACTGTTCTACACACTTTTTCTTTTTTACTAAATTCGCTTATAATACATGTATAATACACTTATATATGTATTTAGAAAAAATTGATTTGTATACACTTGTCAATCATACGGTGAAATACATGTTCATACACGTAAGTGTGCAGTTTTCCCATTTAATAAAAGGAATATAATGTTGTAAATAGTTAGTTTTTGAACAAGTTATTAGCACAAATAGCTTTCGATGCTTCACTTGAAGTTCTAAAGTAGAATTATCTTGGAGTTTCGCCATCTGCAATTAAGGGAAAGTATTAGTTTCATATCATTCTTATTTCGATTAAACCATTACTTTTTATTGAAGTGATTTAGTTGTTAATTGATTCAATTTCTCCTCTTGTGTTTATGTTTATTGAAATGCAGTGTATTAAAGATTGAAATCCGAATTTGGAAAAGATCATTTGAAACCGGAGTTTTGTCACGCCAGCCAAGTAACCTTAAAACCTATTCTTTATGATTCGACTATGTTCAAATTGCTTGATATGAATGATGTGTGTGAAATTAATAAGAATTTGGAAATGGGATTACAAAACCCTAGAACTTGAAGTTTCCTCAAGCTGGGGCTAGAAACATGAAAACCAACTACGCCCTAATGTACTCTTATTCTGCATTTTTTTCATTGGGTTTTTGCTAACCTGACGAGGTTTTGATGAGACATCTACTCTGGGTTGGTCGAATCCTTGTGTTTGCTTATGATCATCCTTAAGATGTCAAGTATTGACATTGCTTTACCTCACATTTTTTTCCTTAGACTACGGGTTTGTCCCGTTGGAGAGATTGGAGAAAAAATGAAAAAGAATATCTAGAGAATAAGGCCTTCAACATATTTTGGACCTAAAGTTGGGTCTACGGTCTACCTAATCTTGGATTGAAATTAGGCTAATAGTTGACTTACAATTGGGCTTGAAAAATAAATATCCAATATAAATAAATAAAAAATAATCAAGTTATATCTTATCCAGTTTAGTTTGGTTCGGTTTTAATCAATACGATTTTTTCGATTTCAGTTCGGTATTTATCCGATTTTTTTCGGTTTTCCGATGTCCGGTTTTTCTCACTATAATACCATGCATGGCCCCCGGCTTTTACTTCGGTGCAGCAATCCTCTGCCTTTTTTGTTTGCCAAAATCTTGATTTCAAATAAAATGGCTTCGATTAAACTCCGTGTTAAGACTAGTCATGCCTCTTCTCTTTTTCATGCTTGTTGCAGATCAAATGGTACTCGATGTATGCCCAAAAGTTTATAATTCATTCCCTGTAACTGATCCATTCATATCTAGTTTTACAATATCTCCAGTAGCAAACCAATGCTGCAGTCTTTCATGCCATCGGACATTTCTCTACGTTAATGTATTTTGGCCATTTCTCTCGGTCGAAAGGCGTTAGGGCAGATCTCCAGACATGGTTCCTTGAGGAGTGGCATCAGCTTCAGGACTGAAATACAATCCCTGAGTATAATGAAAAAGAACATTAGTGAATAAAATTGTCATTCTGAAGACTGGAAAAGGACTGAGCAACCAACATGATGGTGAGCACATCAGCTAGAGGAACATCCACTATGAAACCAACTAAATTCCATGCAGGATCTTTCGTTTGAACTATTGTAAAAAGCTCTCATCCATTTATGGGCATTGGAACTTTCAAACTTTGGAGCAACTATCCAAATACAAAGAGACTATGAACGGGTACTAAATAACGTTGCAACAAGAACTAATTCAGTTTCCCATTATTATTAACAATTGTATTTGATAATAAAAGGTTGAACAAACTAAACGGGCCTTCAATTTGGTTGTTCCGAACCTTGAATCAGAAGCTATAACGCTGCGATTGCCAAAAGAGAATCATCTGTTGCAACTGCCACTCTATTTGAATGTCAAAGTGAAGGGGTCGACATCAGAGAAATCCTCATAGAAGAAAACATGACTCTGATGGTTTTCTACCCACATGCTAATGCTAACCGCATCATCGGCATCTAATTCATATATAGAACGTCGAATGACCCCCTCCTGCCTCCGAACATACCTATGGGTTAAAAGGTCATCACGATTAGATGGACCACCCTGTTTCTCTACAGATTCATTGTGTCACTGCATTATACTCCCCATAGAGACCCCCACATATAACAAAGATTGCACACGAAGAAGCAGAACCTCAGATATACAAGGGGCAAACATAGCACATGTTCCAACAGCCATCTTATCTTGTGGACCATGGCATGGCGCTCTTTTCCAATCTACATGCTTATCCTGATTATAAATGATAAGCGCCACTGAGGTTTCAGCAATTAATTGTTTCACAATAAAGTGGCAGGTACAACCTCTCTTGGTATTCGGTCGACCAACATTTTTCTTCTTTGAGACGTTGATTCTGCTCGGTCGTACAAGCCCACCGTTCCTATGGTCATCAGGACCAAAGGAACACCAATATCTGCACATTTGAAAAAAATAGTTTAAGCTGATAGGATACAGGAATGCTGGCTAAAATGGACAAGGGTAAAAGTTGGAACTTACAGAATATACTCAAGAATACCATCAACCTTTGGTTTGTAAGGCGTCTTTGGCTGCCGTCGTCGCCTCGCTTCAACATGAAATCTCGTTGGACATTCTTTATTAGAGGATTCACCCCTCAGAAAATCGTCAACTCTACGGAACGGAATTAGAGCAACTCTATCTCTCTTGTCCCGCCAACCTTCCACCTTTGACCACACAAGATCAGAAGAAGAAAATTCCAGTGCAGGTGGACTCCGCACAGGAAGGGACATAATCTCATCCCATCAAGCCATCTACAATGAATAAAACGAAAATGACAAATTTAATAAAAACAATAATACAATAGTCATTTTAACAGAACACTCAAGACCAAATTCCAGACGTTAACATCGATAATTCTACTTTATAATAAACTACTACTTAGGTAAATTTGCTCATAATACACTTGTCCATCATACGGTAAAATACACGTTTA